ATTTCATGCTTCCGATGTGATAATATTCGTAAATGATCTGAAGGTTGACTAACGTGTGTAACAGCATTGTATCGTTGAACAAGGGTTTTTGTAGTTCCCATAGTATTTGCGAATTTTGCAGAAGATTGAAAAAAAAGTCGAGAAGCTATCAAATTTCAAACTTGGTCTTGTTACAGGGGACCATCAGAAATAACTCATTATACACATTCGTAGCAGTTTGTTAATGTGAGCAGGGTTAGATCAAGGAATACCCGCGCTCGAGTAACCCGTAGGCGGTCCTCCTTGTACAAGTAGTCTGGCCCTTAGCATCGAAGTTATCCCGCTTTCACGGCTTCACAGTAAGTGTCGAAGGCGCTCCGGCCCTCACAAGTGGCATCTCTGACGCCTCCCTAGTAATCCCGCCCTCAGGCTATTTTCTATCCCAAGCTCAGTATCATACCACGTTCTTCGTTTTTTTTTCGCTGTTAGTCAGCACTAGTATTGAATGACGCGCAGAAGCTAGAGGTGACAACGATCGCTGCTGCCGAATAAGCGTTCAGTGACCGGAAGAGCTCGTTCAGAGAGGCTGCCAGGTCTCTAATTAAGACCGTTCTTTACATATTTTTTTTCGCTTTTTCTCACCTTGAGAGTTATTTAGCGACTACAGTTCCTAATTGAGCGCCACTTTCCATAATGTACAATCGCAGAGTTTATCTTTCAGCAAAGTGATGGGGTCAGGAATGAAATGGAAACCAGAATGCTGGCTAAAACTTCCGACAGATCGAATTCTCCTTGCCTGCGCCTGCCCCTGCTCCAGGGGCGAGGCGAGCATTCTGAATCTTGCTGTATTGGTTCACTAGTCTTGCTTCAGTCGGCCGACAGTAGGTCACCCCATTATTACTGATACTTCTGGACTTCACAAGGGTTTTCAGGCCGTCATCGAAACGTATTTCAAATCTCGCCCTAGGTAAGAATGTCCTGTACCGCATCTGAGAAGTAATGTTGGTGTAGACATTGTTGATGTCTGATCACGTTCAGCGAAAGATTCTAATTGGGAGGGCTATGTAAAAGGCATTTGAAACATTACTGAGAGTCACGACGGAGTGGTGTATGGCGAGCAGACGCGATTCTAGAGCAAAGAGCTTGCTCTTTGGCCAAGCAGCGAGTTTGAAACCACGCCAGTCATCGATTTAGATTGTTTTTGAGCAGCAATTGAAGTAGCAGTAGTTGCTCAGCAGAATTTCTTGTTCGCACAGAGGAATTCATACAGCTTGGTGGACGAGTTCGTACTTTCGTCCGTCTTATCTGCGGATTCTCGAGGCGATCAGTCCAATTTCTTCACTGAAAAAGAATGTTAGACCAAGCAGCTACATTCATTTCTTCCGCAGGACGGAACGTTTCGCAAGATTTAGAGGTTAACTAGCAGCATGGTTCTCGAGAGGGCGGTTCAGGTCTGCCTTCCATGTGGTTTTGAAGTCAGGCTGTGTTCATACGTTGCGGCAGCGTCTACCAACGACCGACAGCGTTCACCAGCGTTCCTAGCCTCCAGCAGCGTCAGCGTCTAGGAAAAAGAGAAAGCTGCTATACGCTGGTAGACGCTGGCAGACGCTAAAACGATATTTATACTTTCCTTGTCGCTGACGCTCGGAATGCTGGTGGACGCTGCCACAAAGTATTAACGCGGCCTCACAAATCTACTATTCGCAGAGAGGCTTTTCTTCAAGGCCTGAAAACAACAAAATGAATCATAGAAGGTAGTATAAGCCAACCGAGGCAGTCTTCCCTAGACTACCGAGGGATCCTCAACAAGGAGGTCGTATCCTGCTCGCTCGGGGGGGGGGGTCGTATTCGGAGAAAACAGTAGTCAACAGAATTGCGACAAGGTGTGTGCACAATAAGGATCATAGCAACTGTAGCGGTGGCCCTTAAGAAGTGTATCCCATCGTCAAAGTGTTTTCACATACGTCATCAGATTCAGAAAGCTGTTTCATGGACCAGCGTAGCTTTGGGTGTTACTAGGAATGTGAACAAGGTCGTGTACGTGCTCACCCCACGGATCAGCCTATCAATTCCTCTCTATCAAGTGACATTAATCACATGTAGTGAACATACCTTCTATGCATTCCGTGGATGCTACAAGGAGATGTGGGGAATGAATAGGAATTTTCTCCTACTTATTCTTCAGCATTTCTCTCATGCTGTGGCGGGTTCCGCTCTTCTGGTTCTGTTACGTCATTTATCACGGTTTAATGCCTCATCAGGATGGGCACCAAATATCTTTAAATCCGCGTGCAGCGTGTCAAGCCAGTTTTGCTTAGGGCGTCCCTTTAAGGCGTTTTCCGAGCACCTCGAGCTGAAGACCAGTCCTACAGACGGTGTTGCGTATATGATAGTTACAAATCCGACCCATGACAACGGTCATCCATCGTAGCAGCGCTAAGACGGGCTTCAACTTCTTCGGTGGCAGGCCACCACTCAGCTCCGCATAACGCCACTGGTCTGACCACAGTTCTATGATCTTCATTTGGGGCTCTGGTATGGTCTTGTCACGGAGAACTCCAGTCATCGAGCGCCATTTCGCCCATGCTGCACTCACACGAGAGTTCACCTCTGAGGTCAGACTGCCATCGGACACAATTTCTGATAAAAAGATACTTTTAGGGTCCTTGAGCTCGATGCCATGATGATACATTATCTCAATGGAATCTGATTCGTTTGAGTCGGTCGTCAAGTACTCGATCTTCTCGACCTTCAACATGGGTCCGAACTGCGATCAGACCATGCGATCAGACCAAAATTGCACCTGTCGCTCAAGTTCGCTCTTACCTTGGCCGGCAAGCACCACATCATGTGAAGAATGAAGAAGCGTCCACGGACTCGGTTTCTGAAGATCTCGTGAGATCTCAACGATGACGACCACAAAAGGAAGAGCGGAGAGCGCAGAGCCTTGATTCACCCCGATAGTGGTGGGAAATTCCTGGGAGAAACCTGTTGGTGCTTGCACGCGGCTCTTCGAGCTGGAGCACAGGATGCACACTCACTCAATAAGCTCCCATATAACTTCACGCGGAACACGACCGAATGCCTTTTATAGGCTCAGGAAAGTTAGATGCAGTGGTTTTTGCTTCTGAGGATGCCCCTCTAGCAGAAGACTGCCGCAAAGCCGCACTGACTGATAGAAAGTTTCACAAATAAAAGGATAACGGATGAAAGTCTTCGCCGTTGATCAATCCCTTTGTGGGATGCGGCACGCATTCTACTTCCATTCAGAATCGTAGTGGCTTATTGAATGCGATGTGGCCTATACAATGACTTGCGGGGGCCAGCCGATGTACAAGTCAGTGTTCTTATCCTCCAGACGAATCTGGTACCAATTTACCGTCCCCGGAGGGTAGAAGGCTTGGTTGGCCTGGGCGGGAGTCGACCCGGGATTTGAACCCGGGACCGCGCGAGTGGTGAGCGCGCCACTTGTCACTACACCACCTCGATTTCACAAATACAACCATCAAAAATAAACTGCATATGGGCTTGGAATTTGGCATAAAAAATGTGAACTCGAACAGCTTGAGCAGGCTGTGTTTCTCTTTATGAAGGCAGCGACTTCCTCACCAGGTTCCTGTTCTTCTCCATTGTACACTAGGTAATATTAAATATTGGAGCTTGCTGATGAATCAGCACGATTTCAACCGAGAACCGAGGCGAATGAAGAAGCCTGCATGAGCGTCCGCAGTCCGCAGGATTATTACGCAACTACGTCGTCAATTCGATGTCATACGCGTTTTATTACGTCCACTAAAAACCTCCCAAAATCTATCCGCAGCCACTATTTGTTATGGCGATAAAACAGTGTCAACCGGTTAATGCGGAGGGTACAAGCCGGCCAGCTAGGCGTTGTTTACTTATGTGCCAAAACAGTAACAGCTACTCATCTCATTCCGCTTAGTTGACTAGGGCGGGAGCCGCTCAGGTATTTGAGCCCCAGTCTGCGCACCTGGAAGTGGCACCACTTGCCACTACACCGCCTTCGCTCTGTCGAATTAGCAAGATTATAATGTTATTACCTTACACTCTCAGCTACTGCTCTTTATATTTTTTTAAAGGAAGGCCCGGATAAGCTGAAACGGTTGAGAATGCCGTTCTAATGCACGTTCCAAGTTTTTTCCTGGTACTGTAAGTACCAATGAAGTGACCAATGAATGGAGCATAGCCAGGGCACATCATTGTTGGAAAAATCCTCAACAGGGAGGGGGGGGGGTATTTGCCTTCTGGCCTTCTAGGAGAGGTTGTTGACTTTTCGCAGTTTTTCCTGCTTCGTTTGTATTATAAATCCCCCTCCCCGCTCGAGAGCTCGGTGAGGAGGGAACTAGCTAGGGGGGGGGCGAGGGACGGGGGCAAGGGCTATCAAGCCACCCTTTAGGGGGGAGGTCGCACGAACTCGACCGAAATCCCCAACCGTATGTGCCCTGAGCATAGCAAAAGGAATTACAAAAATAGATCAGCCTATGGTTGAATGCTCATCCTCTCACCTTTTTTTGCAGGCATACTAACTCATAAATGTGTTTTTTGCTAGACGTCAACAAAGCTTGTAAACAAAGAGATTATTCAGCAACTAAGAGCTTGCTTTCATGAGGGATACCCTCTTCATTTATCGGCTTGGAGATAGTACCGTATACTCAAATCTTGTTAGACCTGCAAAGGTCTGCTGCAGCAGTGAGCAGAACTTCCACAATGAGCAAACGATTGCGATGGAATGAGGTGATTCGGAGTGAGAAAACAAAGTCGAAAAATCGTGGCGACAAAGAAGAATCACCGCGTAAGCGCTGTAGCAACTTTGCCCCCATAATCCCTTCGGCTCGTGGAACACCGCCCCTTGGTCATTCACCCTCCTCTGACCACTCGTTTACGTGAACATCTTCTATTTACCGCCGCTTTGTACGGTAACCTCTCTGCACCAACTCATTATAAGGCTTTTAGCCCATTCAAATAATCTTATCCTCTTTCAACTGGTCTGATTCAGAGCAATGATCGGCGTTATACTGCTGATTTTGCCGATGGTGGGAAGCCAATCGTTCGAGAAGGTTCACGTTGGTTTCCCTGACACCTGGAATGGTGACAAGTATCGGGAGTTATACTGCCCAAGCAAGAATATCCCTAAATTTCTAGGTAGCCTCTTCCCCTCCTAGAGCGTAATTCTCAAAGGTACATGGCGTGAATGTTTTGATTCCAGACGGTTTCTTCCTTTGTCAGCTGTCTGCCTCCTACGGCAACTCCTCGGCTCCACCTGGTCGGAAACTGAACCACATGATCGACGCTATCGGAGCCATCGGCTCGTTTCACATTAGCAATGGACAAGTGCGTCTGAGTAAAAAGTTCATGAAAATTCATTCCAGTACTGCAAACTAAGCTAATTTGAGGTGGTGTTCTCGTCGCAATACTATCCAGCTCGACCCTACAAAATATGGGAGTTCTATGATCGTAATATTAGCAAGTCAAACGTACCATGGGCCGGATGGTCCGATTATAACCTAACGGCGATGTCCAGATGGGAACAGGTGCGTTTATTAGATGACTGCTTCCTGTGACTTCTAGGTTAATTAGTACGAGCTTACAGATCCCCAACAATCCTGATGCTGCCCGTTTTCATCCAAATCTTGATTTTTGGAGAATCGGAAAGCGAATACTTGCTGGAACTGAAGCACCATATTGGATTGGATACGAAGTAGATGTGCGTGAGCAAGATCGTACCATAGAATTCGTGATTTCATTTTTTCCTATATGGCTAGTTTGTTTTTTACAGATGCAGAATCTGAGCAAGTTCAAACTTTTCAAATTCACTGAAGAAAACGACATTTTCGCCTCGCCGCGTCCAACTATGATACCTATTTCAATGGCAATCCATGAACGTAGTGATGCTGATGGAACCGTTTGGGGATCGTTTTCAGCCATGAACTTCGAAGAACAACGATTCGTACAGGTGCGGACCTATAGGAAGTTAATTCCTCATCACAGACGAAACCCTTCTATGCGTTTTCTGGTCGGCGTTAGCAAAGGTTCGCTAAAGAAAAATTTTGAGGGAACCAAGTCGGTTCAATTTTTTTCCAATGTTCATTTCCATAACAGCAAAGGGTTACGTAACCTTGGAAGGACAATTCTTTCGCAATACCCCTAACATGTCTTGGCAGCTATGCAAATGGGGCCTGCAGATTCGCCACCTCCTTCCACGACAGCGCAAGTGTCCTTGAAGGAAGATGCTCCAGTGATCTCGATTGATTCTAGCAAGAAATGATTTCGAAACTTTCTTCATTTAGGGCATTTTCACAATTGATGTACATGGAGTCCGTCGTGTAGTTGGATTGTACGATTACGGTGTCTGGGACCCTAATGCTTGTGGAAAAAACGACGAATATATCGGTTAGTGATTGTAGCCTTCCGAAGAGCTCAACATATTTGACTGTTCGCGGGCTCTGAGCTCATTTATAAGAGATAACACATTTTAGGTTTTTACATTATGGCAAAAACCCCTTAAAGGCAAAGTCCGCGATCATTCGCCATCACAGATAGTGGATTAGGGTTTGCATATAGACGACAAGGTGCTGAGTAACTCGATAGTGAAGAAAAAAGCAGAAAAAACATGCCAACTGCCCTAGATAGAACCCCATTTCGATCCCAGTTTGTACGTGCCCAGTTAACTCCATCTCCAACACTACGCCCCATCCGCACAGCTGATTCCCGATAAGAACTCTACGACCGTACAAGTGACGATTTTCATGCTTTTTCGTCCTGCAGCTTCGTTTTTCCTTGAAGGCGGAGTCTGGAGGCGGAGTCACTGGAAAAAGGAGGCGTCACTGAACCTATAT